ACCTCATCCCTGGCAACCTCAAACCCTCGCGCCCTGGACACCCCGTCCCCCGGGCCCTAAACCCCCCAAATAAGGACGCTCCCTAACTCCAACTGTCCTAAACCCCACAAATCCCTCAACCCCTGATCCCCTAAACCCCCGACCCCCTGAAACCGCTGAACCCGCCGCCAGGTGATGGACTACAGCCTGCTGGTGGGGGTGGACAAGGAGCGCAACGCCCTTGTCGTGGCCATCATAGACTTTATCAGGTCCGGGTTTTGGGGGCTCAGGGTTGAGGGGGTTCAGGGTTCAGGGTGTGGGGTTCTAGGGTCGTCAGAGGTCTGGGTTTGGGGTTGAGGGGCGGAGGAAGGGGGCAGTGCGGAGGTGCGCGCAGGGGTGGAATGCAGCGGGGGTTGGCAGGTGGGGTCGGGGCTGGAGCCGCTGTCGGCCGCCATCGACTTGATTAGGTCGGGGTTGTGGGGGTTCAGGGTTCGTGAGCTAGGGGTCGGGGTTCAGAAGGGAAGAGGGCGGAGGAGACGGGCAGTGTGGGGGTTGGCAGGTGGCATTGAGGCTGGACCTCCTGCCGCCGGCCCGACAAAGTCGGCCGGCAGCTGCCGTTATGGGCCGACGCCGCCGGCAGCCGCGCGCCGGGCGGGCCTCGGTGACCGGGGTGGCCCCAGCACCACGCCGGGGCGGAAGCGCCTGCCCGTGTGAACGCGGCTGCGGAGCGGCTGCCGGGTGCCGATGACCCGGCGTTTTCTCACATGATTTGCCGCCTGCCCGCTGCAGGCAGTACACGTGGGACAAGCAGCTTGAGACGTGGGTGAAGAGCAGTGGCATCCTGGGGGGCAACGGCAAGGAGCCGACCATCATATCGCCAAAGCAGTACTGCAGGCGCTTCAGGTGGGTTTGGGGGGGGGGGAGGGGCTGGCCGGGCTGGGCTTGCCCGCACATGCGTGCGTCTGCATGGCACGAGGGGTCGGCCACGCTCCAGTGCCACACTTCCCCTCCCTTACTGCCGCGCCACCCGGGGCCGTCCATGCGCACGCACTAGCTCGCGAGCGCGTGGCTCGTTGCTTCTGCCCACAGCAACCGGTCTTGCCCCAGCTTTGCAAAGAAAAAAGCGTGAAAATCGTCCTCAGGCCCTGATCATGACCCACAACCTAGGCTCCTGATGACTCGAAACTGTCGCACACCCCCTTTGCATTTCTCTCCTGCCGTTCGATTCCAGCTCTTCCCCTCTCCAAATCCTCTGCAGTGTCCCATACCCCCTTCACTTCCGTGCCAACCCCCTCCCCTACATGCCCACACCCTTGCAAGCACATACGCACATATATGCACTGCAGATGCGCGCGCACACACTCACACACACACATACACACACACACAAACACACACACGTACTCGAACTACCCCCACCCCCACCCCTCACCCCCATCCCTCACCCACACCTCTCACCCCCAGGGCCGCCATCAGCAGCTACTTCACATTGGTGCCAGGGGACGCTGACGTGGACCCACCGCTCGACCCAGAGGCCAGCGTGTAACCGCCGCACCGCCGCCGCACGCAACCCCTCACCACATCGCACCGCACCACACCTCTCGACCGTGCCGCCCGGTTGCGCCCGACGTGGCGCTGCAGGCCGGGCGGCGCGGCTGCTGCTCCGGCTGTGGGCCCGACCGACTCGCGACATCCTCTGCGTTTTTTTTCTGCCGCACCGGCGGCCGCGGCAGCCAAGCCGTGCCGCGTCGTCAGGCAACGGCGCTGCCGGGGGCGGCGGCGACGCGCGCCGACGGGCGCCCGAGCGCCCCGCGGCGCTGGCTGGCCGCGCGAATTCTTTGGTGGCCTGCGCTGCCGCCCGCGCGCGTGTGCGTGCTGCGTGGTCGCCTGCCGAACACCGCCAGCTCAGCCTGCACTGTGTGTTCCTTTTCTACAGAACCCCACCCTCTCCCTTTCGCATCGCTTCGCACATCTTTGCATCACACCTGCGCCCCACAAGACGCCAACGCGAACCGCGAGCAGCCGGCCCTGCGCAGCACCATGCAGCTGCTTGCACGTGCGGACGCCCCGCCTTGTCAGCGGCTTTGGGTGCCGCCGGGGCAGGCGTTTCTAGCTGTGCACACTGTCAGTATGAATTTGCACCCCTCCGACCGCGCGGCCCGACTGCGCCTCCGGGCCGACCCCTCAACGCTTGCAGCCACCGCCGCCGCCGCCGCCAGCAGCGGCCGAGGCAGCCAGGGCAGCAGTGCGGTGCAGCGTACCGTGCGCGCGTGCATCGTGCCGCAGCCGCGACCTCTAAAGGCCGCTCTCCTGAAGCTTTGGCCTGGCACATCTTGGCTCCCTCTCTGTCCCTGTAACGCTTCGCACATCCCCCTTTCCTATTCCTCAGTGCTCTCACAGCGCCTCGCCTCCCGTAGAAGCAGAGGGGGGAATGTGATTTACATGAAGCAGCAGGGCCGAAGCCATCGCGCTGCAGCGGCCTGCCATTGGCTGCCGCCGCACCAATTGTCCACAAACGCGTGCAACCCCGCAAACACGGCTGGTTTCGTTCAAAGCCGCGGCCAGCTGGGGCTGCCCGCTGCTGCCACCACTGCTGCCGCTGCTACTGCCGCGCCACCGCCGTGCCACCGCCGCTGCTGCCCGCCGCCGCTGCTGCCCGCCGCCGCTGCTGCGCGCCGCCGCTGCTGCCCGCCGCCGCTGCTGCTGCTGCTGCTGCTGCTGCTGCTGCTGCTCCCGCTGCTGCCGCTGCTGCCGTCGCTGCCGCTGCTGCTACTCCACCTCCTGCAGGTAGTCCTGCACCTCCGCCGCGCTGAGCACCTTGAACTTGCGGTCCGGCCCGATGATGCCCACCTAAGGCGGCGCAGCAAGAGGAGAGTGAGCACGCGCGCGCGCCCGCGCGCGTGTGTGTGTGTGTGTATGTGTGTTGGTGAGAGACAAATGATGAGAGGGTGTGAGTTAGTGTGCGTGCGTGTTTGTGCAAGCTTGCACATGCAAGGACACATGCAGTCGCGTGCGAGGGGACAGCCAGGCTGTGAGGGCTGCGAGCGGTGCGGCATCACATCCGCGTCGCGCCCAGCACACCCCTGGTGGGCCGCTGCGGCCCCGTCAGGAGGGCGGCAATCAAGCCCCCTGCTGCTTATAAACGCGAGGTGGCGCGCCTTGACCACCACAACATCGGCCCCCAAGCCACACACACACACACACACACACACACACATACATTCACACATTTACACACATACACGTGCGCGCGCGCATGCGCGCTCGCGCGCACGCCACACACGACCTACGGGCCTCACCTCGATGTTGTTGCCCGAGACCTGGCCCTCGAAACCCTCCTTCAGGGTGAGCAGCGCGGTGTGGATGGCGTCCTCGATGCCCACCTGGGTGTCAAAAAACAGTGCACACAGGGGGCAAGCAGGGATCTCAAAGGAGGAGATATGGGCCTCAACTGCAATCTCAAACAGGCAGAAGCTTGCTCGCTGCAGACGCGACGTCACTTTCCTTTGCCACGGCGACCAACCACCAAGCCGCTCCGCCTCACCCCGCTGCCCCCTCAGCCCTGCTGCTCCCACCGCCCTGCTGCCCCCACCACACGCTGCTGCCCCCACCGCACCCTGCTGCCTCCACCACGATGCTGCCCCCAAGGCCCCCTAGGCCCACCTCGTCGCTGTACCGCTTCTCCAGGAAGGTCTTCGCGTTGTTCATGTTCTTGCCAATGGCACTGGCCTTCCACGCGAAGTAGGACCCGCTGGGGTCGATCTGGGGGTTGACCGGGGGCAGCGGGGGGTGTCGGGATTGGAGTGTTGCAGCAAGCAAACACGGAGCTTGGTGGGTGTGAGGGCGAGCGGGTCGCACAATCGTGGGCTACAGGCAGACTCCAGCCGGGCCGCAAGGGGGGGTTTTCATAGCCACGAGCACGCCGTTTGCGCCCCGACGGCTGGCTGCGACGTTCCAGCCGTGCGTGGTGTCCACACGCAAGCAGAGGCTGCAGGGCAGCCGGCACTGCGGCTGACCTGGTACAGCTGCGGCCCGTTGTCGTCGAAGCCCGCCAGCAGAAGCGACACGCCGAACGGCCGCACGCCGCCAGACTCTGTGCATGGAGGCGTGGTGTCCAGGGGGGGGGATTGGAGGGTGCGATGCCATGGCCCAAGCGCGTGAGCTAGGTGTGCAGTGATGGCGTCTGCAACACGACCACGTGCATCGCGTTGCACATGTAGTGTTCACAAAGGCATGTCGACTATGGTGTCAATGGCTGCACCTCCAACTGCCGCCGCTGCTGCTGCCCCTGTTGCTGTTGCTGCAGGTGCTGCTAGACGCAGGTGCATCCCAAGCCGTGGCAGCCACGATCCGATCGAGAAACTAGCAAGTTGGTCACATGATCACTGGCAGGTCAATCAACGAACGCCGACAAGAGCAAGCCATGCCTAGCACTGTGCGGATAGCAAACTCTTGAACGCATGCCAGGACCTCGACCTGGCTCGCGCCTACGCGTGGCGGCAGCTGCACAGCAACCACCCTTGCGCCCATTGTGGCCCGCCCCTTAAACAGCCCCGCGCTCACGTGTGAACTCCTGCATGACGGCTGCGACCTCCCGCACAAGCTGCGCAACTGGGATGTGCTCCTGATACAGTCGGAAGTATTGCTGCGCCGTTTTGCGCGCCTTGCGCACTAGGACTCGGTAATCTGGCCCCATGCCGCTGTACACCATGCCTATGTTGGGCGACAGGATAGTGATCTTCTGCACCGTGCTCTCGTCCACAAGCATGGACGGGAGCTTTTTCTCTGTGGCTATCACGACCCCATCAGTGGCCGAGATCCCCAAGGACGTGGCGCCAGCTGCCACTGCGTTCAGGGCGTACTCGATCTGCACGAGCTTGCCGCTGGGACTGAACGTGGTCAAAGAGAAGGAGTACTGCGCGGACAATGGCGAAGACAGCGTGAGCTCAGCTCATAAAATCGATCTGATCACTTCGCGTGGTGCCCATGCACATGGCTGCACCTGAGACTCCCCCATGATGGTACGCTGCTGCTGTTATCCACGTGCGATCACGACCCTCCTAGCTTGCGGTGATCAATTTCGCGAGGGGCGAAGGACGTGTGTGCTGTGCTGCTGTCTGCAAGGTATGAGACTCGAATTGCGTGTATCGATGCTGGTCACTATGTCTTCACACCGAACGCTGTATGCTGTACGTAGGGATGCATGTGCGTCGCATCGCACTTGTTGCACCGTGCTGGGCAGGTCGAGGTGTCGGTCAGTCAGGTGACCCGCCGGCATCAACTTTCTTTCTAGATGTCTGTGAGGCGAGCAGGAAGCGGCCAGGCCCAGGTTGGAACTGCTATACATGGTTGAATGGCTGCAAGAGCACACACCCATGGCCAGCAGCACATGGGCACCCAGACAGAGCGAAGCGCTGAACAGCAGCCGGTGGCCGCTCACAGCAGCGAAAGGCAAGGTGGTGTCGAGTGGCGTCGGCATCACAGCAAGCGACCAGTCTTCATGCTGCGTATGTACATAAAATCTGTAATATTCCATGCAGCTTCCAGACAAGCCAAGCTTTGAAAACGTGCATCTGTTACTCGTCCAAAGCCAGGTCGTGCTTTGGACTAGATATCGCATCCCCGCCTGGCCGGCTTGAATCGGGCGCCGTGCCTGGCGATTTGACGTCAATTATGATCCCACAGACGAAGAAGAGAATGGACAGCCCTCTCGTGCATTCGACTTGGCAGGTGGGTGCACCGCAGGTCAACGAATGAATCGCGAGTGTTGTGGCTTTGCGTGTCCAAATTGCATACAGTCTCCTGTAAGTGGAGGTTCTTGCCCCCTCCCCCGGGAAAAAAGCCCACATCAGCGAGCAGCAGAAGGCACCTCGCTGACTCACTACCTCGGCATCCTCAGCGAGCCACCAGTCACGCCGCGAGCAGCAGCATCAGCGCCGCCGCGCCGACGACCGCGGCGCCGAGCGCGCCTGCGCCGCGGCCAGCCGCGCCCGCGCCGTTCATCGGGGCGAGCACCGTGTTCCCCGTGCCGTTGACGCTCTGGCCTGGCTGCTCACAAAATGATTCCACGTTCTCAACTGACGACGGCCGCGGGCGCCCCAGGCACAGGAAGGACGAGTTTGTCGACTTCCAGCACTCTGTGTGCGTCGAGCTCGGGCACTTTGTAAGGGCCAGCGCCTGCCCCTTCGCCGCCGGGCAGTCGTTCAGAGCCTGCGTGCAGACGTTCTTGTAGCACTCGGGGCGCATGCCGTTGCACTTGGCGCTGGGGTCGGAGGAGAGCAGAGCGTACGCCGCAGTGCCTGGGAGCGGCGGGGTGAGCGGTACGGTGTACCATGCTGGTCATGGGAGGCTGCACTGCCAGCTGAATGGGACGGCTCATGCATTTGCGACAAGGATACCCGGCCAGGATGACAAGAGAAGGGAGCTTAGGACGGCCCTTGCATGTTTGCTGAGCCCAGAAGATCGGCGCTGCGCGCCGGCATGACGCTCAGCCAGCGCAGCACGCCGCGCTCTGTGTGCCTCCGACACAAAAACGTGACAAGAGGTCGAGGCACGTCAGCACAAGTCAGAAATCTGTGCTTCATCCTCGCTGTCATTGCGGCCTGCGCGCCACGCCCTGCTTCGCACCTGCGAACGCGCCCATCGCAAACGGCATCAGGCTGGACGGCCGCTGTCGGTACGCGCTGCTCGCCGCGCCGCCGACGGCCGCGCCGCCGACCGCACCCGCGCCCGCGCCGCCGAAGCCGCCGGGCGTTTTGCCGGCAGCAGCGGAGCTCACTGGCATAGTGGGCAGGGCGGCGCCGGGCGCCGGCCTGTACGTTCCTGCACCTGACACCGGCACCCCTGTCACAGTCCCACCACCGCCCGAAACCGGCACGCCCATGGCCGGCTTGCTGCTGCCCGAGAAGCTGGAGGATGACTTGCTGCTGCCGAATCCGCCACTGCTGCGGGCGCCACCCCCAAAGGCGGCTTGTGCGGGTGGCGCCAGCGCAGCGCACGTCAGCATCACGAGCGCCAGCAGCGGGCAGACGCGCATAATGCCCCTCGCTCCTGCCATGCCGGTGTGCAAGACTTCTTGCAAGGCGCTACGATGCTGCTGGGGTTAGCGGGAGCGAGAGCAGCTGTGGCCTCGACCTGCGCCGCGGTCACACAACTTCAGTTGGCCGCAGGTGTTGTTCAATCTGCTACGGTAGATTTAGTATTTGTTCAATCTCCTCGCATCCGAGGCAACATGCACAACCTCCTAATGTCTCACCCGGAGAACCTGCCATACAAGTGACCCGACCTTCCTGGCGACCCCGCCTGCTACCGCCTTGGCCAAACATCGATTTTGAGCTGCAAGAAGTGTTTTGCGTATGCCGCTAGGTCCTGCTGCGCTCTACATTTAGCAGCACGCAGAGGTCGCTGCATGCAGTACGAGTACCCAACAACGGGGTGCGATACAACGTTGACATGAGCCCATGAAAACGAGGCCTCAGGCATGGCGGTAAGACAGGGGTTTTAGGTTTACTATGGGCGCTGTGCCGCACTGACATGAACCTCATCTGGTGGCACACGACACCGACAACCCACATTCCCTCATTCCGGCAGTCCCTACGTACCTGCAGGCGCGTTGCGACCCACCAGTTGCTTCACCAACGATGACCACCGTGTGGTCACATATGCACACGGTGCGGCAGTCTGTTGGTATGCCGTGGGGAAAACCTGGTCGGCATGCTTGCAGCAAGCGTGTGTGCGCGGACGTCAGCAGCAAGGACCCCGGTTGGCCAGGAGACTAGCAGCAGTATACATTGCTGCTAGTCTCCTGGCCAATCGGGGTCCTTGCCTGCAACACTTGTGTACGCGCGCGGTCTCCTCTCAACCTTCAGGCAATGATGACAGTCCCTAGTTGCAACTCATTGGTTCCTGATTGCAAATTGTAGTACGTTGTCCCCAATCATAGTCCCTCAGTAGCCGATAATCATGTCTGCGTTCCGTCAGGGTGCTTCGCCACAGCCCGCGCCAGACGCCCGCTACACACCCGGGCCCACTGTGCACGGCAGCTGATGGCAGCAGCCACCCAACCAACCCCGGCCTCCGCCGCCTAGACGTCGCCGCTGCAAACTCCACGCAGCAGGGCAACAAATCCACCCCAGGGGTAGCAGCCTCTCCCCCCGGCCTATGCACCCCGGCCCATGCGAAGCACCTGAGTGACTGCCCTGCCTGGCCGCATGCCTGACCACACCCAGTGATGCGAATGTTTCCGTCTTCACTTGACCTGTTTCATGAAGCACGCAGGCACGTCAGTCACGCCTGACTCTCACATCTCAGATGAGACACCAAACGCGGTGCGAGCTGACTCAAAACCTTCAGGCATGCACCGCAGCCTCTGCGTGCTACCTGCTGGCTCGACATGGTGACGGCAATGGCGCTGCTGGCCAACAGCCCGTGCGCTCCTTGCCCGTCGATCACCATAACTGCGTTCAACCAAGTTGGACCAGCAACTAGCATGTGCCAGCCTGTCGCATGACCTTGTCCCGCCAACGGTTGCGCGGCCCCCGGCCTTGCCTGTTGCTGCTCCCGTGCTGCAGCCTCGGCTTCCTGCATTTGCAATGCCGCCTCTGTTGCCTTGGCCTCATCTCACAGCGCAGCCCCCCTCCCCCACCGCTGTGTCAGCTTCTGGCTGCTGCTGCTGTTGGGCTGTTTACTGGTGCAACCAGCTCCACAACTGATTCTCATGCTTGTGCACAAGCTAGTGCTGCAAGGCAGCCTCTGCTCCAGCATGGCTGGCCCAAAAGCCCCTCACCTTGCACCCTTGCATACACTTTTTGTATGCACAACAATGGAGAGTCGCACGGCCAGCGCAGTGGTATTGCAGCCCGTCGACCAGGACTAGACTAGAGTAGACCGGGCGCTGGGCTCCCAGTACGTTTTAAGGACGGGGGCAAGGGTCCGGGCATGCAACCGCCCGTTCCCCCTCTGCTGCAGCCGTCACTGACAAGGATCCACGTTGAAAAGGGGCATGCGCTCGGCCGGCGGACCAGGTCTGAGTGGAAGGTGTTCAATGTCCCGTGATGCAAGGTCTTTCACCCATTTCTCTGCCCGCTTCACAATATGGCCTCCATTTTGAGGACCACAGCAGCAAAACGCTCTTACCTTTACCAGTGCGCTCGCAACTGCATTGCGCGCGCCGCACGCACGGGGTTTTGCAGTACAGTTGTTTCATCATGCACATTGGTATTCAGTCATCACTCAAAGCTCTTTCTAGATGCAGGTTCATGTGAAGCGAGGCAGGGCAACGCCCAGTGACACATCAAGGAAATGGAGGGGCGCAGAAAGTGAGTGCGTCGAAAAAAGGCACAAGGCAGCGCGTATACCTAGCCTTTAGTGACGTCGTTTCAGTTGTAGCGTTTCTGCTATATGATTGCATCTTGCAGCTGGTGTCTCCTTGATCACTGGAAACAGATCACGGCGTCCGTGATCTAGCTCGCCGCGCATCAAGCCCGCAAGAGGATCATCGCAGAGCTTTCAGGCGCACGTGACCTTCGTCTGCGGCCAGTTTTCGCGCCCTGGTGACAATAGATGATCCAGCAGCCGTCTCGGAGGGGCTGTATGCGGGTTTTAGTGGTCTGACATGTTGTATAGCATGCCATTGATTCAAGTTCAGCTCGTTGAAGGACGCACGTCTTCACCGCTGCGGCGTCCGCCCGCAGCTGAGTGTGACCGACTGGCCTCACTACAAGCACACCCACACCCTTCCTTTCCTTGCGTGCGGCCGTACATCACAGGGTGCGTAATAAACACCTTCCCGGCTCCGCGAGCAGGACCCCGCACGCGGGCAACGCGCGGACGCCCTTTCGACCCGCGTGCGCGCCGCCATCGGCGCCCCGGCTGCCCCCGCGCCGGCCGCGGCCGGGATGGACGGCGGGCCGGAGCAGAAGAAGCTCCGGCTGGACGAGGAATTCGCGGGCGACGAGGGCGAGGAGATGGAGGGCGGCGACGAGGGCGAGGAGGCGGACGGGGAGGAGCTGGATGAGGACTGGGCGCCGGATGAGGAGACGCGGGCGCTGCTGAATGAGGCGGGGCAGGCGCAGACCGAGCTCAATAAGGTGGGGCGACGTGCGGTGGGAAGGGGTCATGGCGTTTGTGCGCGCGCACGCGTGTGTGAGTTTGTGTGTGTGTGTGTGTGAGTGCGCGCGCGCTTGGGCACGTATGAGTGTGCACGTGAGATATGCACATAGGTGTGTTTGGGGGAGTGCGCTGTGCGCAGGTGTGTGTGTGTGTGTTTGTGTGTGTGTTTGTGCGTACGCGTGTGCGCGGCCGCTTTTGTGTGTGTGTTGGTGTGTGGGCGCGCACAGGAGGATGTCAGGAATTGCTCTTGATGAGCAGCTTTGCGCGCACATGCCGAGCCTGTGGCCGTATCGATGGCACACGGGAACCCTGCTGATACACAACGCCCTTGACAGTGCTGCAGCCGCCGCGGCTGGTTCTCTTCTCTGTGCTCACTCAGCCGCGGATTGGCCGCGGCCCCTCCCCCCCAAACCCAAGGCCGGCGGGGGCCTTGGCCCCTGGCCCGCCCCTCCAGCTGCCACGCCGCTTGCCATTGTTTGGTCACCCCTTCAAACACCCACCCACCCACACCCACCCACCCACCCCCCACACACACGCAAACACACACCCCAAACACACACAAACACACACTCTTCAGTCACACACACACACACACACACAAATTCTCCTGATGGGTCCCTGACAGATAAATGATGCGGCCAGCGAGGAGGTGCTGCAGGTGGAGCAGCGGTTCAATGTGAAGCGGAAGCCAGTCTACAGGCAGCGCGGGGACGCGCTCGCGCGGGTGCGCGCCCGCGCGGCAGCGACTTTGCATGGTAGTCCGTAGTCAGTCATGGGTGCGCTGCGTCGTGCTGCCTGGCTCCATCCTGAGCCCGGCGCACGCCGCACGCCGGCGCCGATTGCGCTGCGGCAGCAGCGTGCCGGGCACGCAGGCGGCGAGGGCTTGGGGGGTGGCGCGGGCGGCGTGCCTGGGTGCGGCCGGCTCACAGCGCGAGGCGCAAGCGGCCTGTTTTCTGCCCCAAGACGTAGCTGGCCCGAATTTGCCAGGGGCGCCGCTGCGGGCCTGCCAGCAGGGGTGCTTCTGCGTACACTCATGCACCCCTGCTCGCACCCCAGTCTTTCTCATTGTTTGACCCTTGGCCATCGCCGCTTGCTGCCCCGAATCAAACCCCGCCCCTACCTCAACCCAGCTGACCGCTCTCGACTCATTGCACCAAACCACCCCCCTCTACCGGACAGATCCCCGCGTTCTGGCGCCGCGCGCTGATGGGCCACCCCTCGCTCCAAGAATTCATCACAGAGGACGACCTGGGGGCCCTGGGGGCGCTCGAGCGGGTGGGTGCTGCGGCGGTTTGACCGGCGCACCAGGTCAGCGCGCCGCGCAGTGCGTGTGCCTGCAGGTATTTTCCAGGGCTCGCAGCCGGCCGGCGGTGCCCCAGAGCCTTCGGAGGTCCCGCGTGGTCCAACGTCTTGAGGGTTGGGGTCAGAGACGTATTTCGGCGCCAGCAGCCGCGGTTCCGTTGCGCCTGGGTGTGCTTGCTTGGTGTGGCAGCATTTCACACCCTGTGAGCCAGCCTGCCGCTTGTGGCGACCATCCCGCGGTTGCAGCCGTTCCCTGCAGATGTTCCGGCACCACCCATCCCACCCTCAACCCCACCCCACCCACAACCTGCGACTTGCACGCACACACACACACACACACACACACACACACACAAATCCACGTGCGTCATCCCCAGGTTGATGTTGTCGACAATGACGACATCAAGAGCGGCTTCACGGTGTCGTTCACATTCAACACCGACACCAACACCTACTTCTCAAACGCGGTGCGCTGGCACTTCAAGGGATGTGTGCTTACATATGTGTGTTTGTATGTGCGCGCGTGCGTGCCTGCACGCCTGCTGCGCCCGCCGGCGCGCAGCAGGGCCCGCACCTGCAGGCGTGGGCCCCCGCCCTCCAGCGGCTTGCAGGTGCAGGTTGCAGGTTCAACGTGCCGCTCCTTGCAGCCCTTGAAAAGCCGCTGCGCGGACACCACACTCCGCCTCCCAACGCCAGCAAATGCTGCAGCAAAATCGTACAAGCATATTCGCACGCGCGCACATGCACGCTACAGGTTCTCGCCAACACCTCGACTCATCATGACTCATAATGCCTCATCAAATTTTTAATCATGACTCGTTGACGCCAGGTCCTCGAGAAATCCCTTGCCTTCGGCGAGGACGCGTCGCTGGAGGCCAAGGCCACTCCCATACAGTGGAAGGAGGGCATGGTGGGTGCCGACCAGGGCGGCACCGCGCATTGATCTCAGATCATTGTTGATCTCAGATCATCGAGTGTGTCCGTGGGGATGCATGACCTGCTATGAGATGGATGTGGATTGTCGGTGCAAGGGACTGACGGGTCAAATGCAGCCTGCTGTGATTTTCCGCCTAGTAGGCATGCGGAGCGGGGGCTGCCGATCCACCTGTGTGCCACCGTGGGAAGGCGGGAACAAGACAGGGGAGCCCGATGCCAAAACCCTTGAGAATTTAAAACCGATGTGATGCACAGAACCCCCCGCCCTCGTCGCCAGCGGTGCCTGCTTTCTGTGGCGCCGCGCCGGCGCGGGGGGGCAGATCAAAGCCGCACCTGGTTTGTTACAGCGGGCGCCGGGGCTATTCCCCACCCGGCGCGTGTCTCCTTATCGCCAGGACACTTCGTAACACTGCCGCGCATTAGAGGTCTCGTCATACCACGGCACGCGCCCATGGACGGCATTGGCAATCTTCCTTGCACCGCGCGCCACTCACCACCAACGGCCTCCCCCTCCACCCCCCGCTCGTGTTCCCCCCTTCAACCACTCCCGTGTGCTTGTCGATACAGCCACCATGCAATCGCTCGAGGGCCCTGCCAGCGCCGCGCGGGCGCTGCACAAGCCCCATTCCCCGGACGTCGCTTTCATCTCCGCTGCATGTTCGACCCCACCCCAATCAGCCCCCTGCTGAAACCCTGTCTCACAAAACCCTCGAAACCACGTCCCAAAAAACGTGCGATGCGCTCCGTCGCAGGAGCCGGCCCAAGCTGACGAGCGGCCGGGCACTAAGCGGTCGCGGGTGCCCGATTACAACTTCTTCACGTCCTGGTTTTTGGTGAGCCTTGATTGATTGCGTGACGGTTGACGCCAGCGCTCGCGGGAGCGGCGTGGTTTTCCCAGGGATTGGTGCTGTCGTCTATGGCAGGATTCACGCCATGTCCTCTGGTGGGCTGGTATGGTTTTGGCGGTAGTGTGGTTTTTGGGGCAGGAATGGTAGCTTCTAATACCACCTGGGGTTCATGCACGTGGCTGCGCTGGAACAATTTCAGCATATGATGGTCGTCATGCATACAGCAGCGGCCCAGTGCCCTTTGCAGCCGCGTCGTGCGAGGGATCAATGAGCAGCAACCCCTCAGCCCTCGCAGCCCCTTCCCAACGCGTGCTGCGGACGTCTCGGTGCTGACATCACCGGCCCCCCGCGCGTCGGCGCCCATCACGCAACCCGCGCAGTCTGAGAAGTATGCGCCTGGCACCCAGGACGCGGTGGCCGAGTACATCAAGGAAGACGTGTGGCCGGACCCCGTCAAGTACTGGAGGGTGGGGCTGGTGAGTGACGCCACGGGTGACGCTTCGTGGGTGACGTGCCGCGGGTAACATCAGCACCCATGGCCGGCGGGGGTGGCGTTGGCTATAATGACCACCCTCCGCATGTTTGAATTCCTCAGGACCTGCATGCACCCGGCATCCTGCAAGTGTCTTGCCCCGCGGGGCGTGTCCGCATGGTCCGGTCCCCGCTCTGCTGCGCGTGCCAGCCGTGCGAGTCTCTTGGATGGCCCTCCGGCTGAAGCCCCAGCCTCCTCCCACCGCCCCCCCTTGCCCTCTTGCACCAACCAGATCCAGGAGCTGCCAACAGAGGCGTACGCCCTGCCCGCAGACGACGAGGACGGGGAGGGCGAGGAGGGGGAAGGTGCGATCCCGGCGCACGGCCCCCTGAGCCGCCTGCAGACTGGTGCCAGGGAGCAGAGCAGGGGTGTGCAGGACGAGCGGGAGCCGCGAGCCCCGGCATGCATCGGAAGCTTGAGCAGGCGGGATTGGGTGGGCTGTGGGCCGGCTGGTGCGTCCAGGCGCCAGGTGTGCATACCCTCAACCCGCACGACCAAGTGACCTAATCATAAACATCCATTTCCCATGCCATCGCTTCCCGTTACCTTCCAACATGGATGCAACAGAAGAGTACGACGAGGGGGAGGAGGGGGATCCCAACGGGGGCGGCGCCTACGGCGACGGCGGCTTCGGGGCTGCGCTGGCTGACGAGGACGAGGGGGAGGAGGGGGATGACGACCAAGGCAGCTGAGGGCGTGCCAAACCCTCGCGCGGCCGTGCCGGCCGGGCGGCGGGCGGCGGCTGCTGGCCAGCACGGCCGAGTGCGGGAGTCGTACCGCGTGTCCCGCCCCTGCCTCGCATTCCCTGCGTTTGCTCTGCTGCAGGTTGGGGTTTTTTGTGAAGTCATCCAGTCAGTTGCTCGTGCAATTGCGCCCCTCATTCCTTGCTTCTGTAATCGAATACCCGCCATTACATAGGATCTCAACTGCAAAACGCGCTGGCCAGATGCATGCAATAATCCCTAGGCGTTGCTAAGCTGCCGTGCACTGCATGGGGGGTGGGGGTCCTGCCCAGGAACACAGTATTGTGCACTGCAGCCCTTGGCAGGTGAAGCTGCTCTATACACCGTCAGCAAGGGGACCCTGTCGCCTTCTGATGCGCTGTTGCAGGCGGGCACCATGTTAAAGTCAGGCACACACGCCGCTGGCGGCCACACCTACATTAGGTGTGGTCAGGTCTAGGCAGCGCCAAGGCATGGGTGGGAGGGGCACCTGTGAGGATATGAAGCATAAATGTGACAAGCCCTCAATCGCACGACAGCTCCCGGCGAATGGGGGTCAATTGCACACCAAAATCCGTGCTGGTTTGACAGGGCTGCTTCTTGTTGTCCCGCCAGAATGCTGCAGTCCAACATCGAAACACGCCTGCGCAAGTGCATTTCGCCTCTGTTGCCCCCCATACATCACCATGAGCGCTGCAAACACTCGCGTCTTTGCTCTGGTCTTCTTTCCAAGTTTCAAGTGTGTGCTCAAGTTTCAATTGTGTTCTCAAGTTTCAAACCGTGTACTTGTGTTCCGGTCAACCCAACTCGCGAGCTTGAGCATGGTGATGGTGCGGCAGAAGTCTCGGGGGCACCAGGCGCTTGCCACCAACTGCACCTACGTGCACATTCATCAAGAGGTGTGCTGGTTGTAATGACAACTTATTGCCTCCACCTCAACGTGTTCTGCATGACCTGATGTAACAGCACGAGACATCCAAGAAGGAAAAGCCCCTTGCTCTCACAATGCTGTGCCTATCATGTCCTGACAGGTGTTTCGATCCTAGACTTATAAATTTCCCCCCCTTCCCTGCTGAACAGAAAACCAGGTGAGATTTTTGCAGACACTTGCACCCGCCCTGCATGCGCGCTTACTTTGATGAATTTCAGCGGGTACCCATCTGTGACAACGTGTTGCACGCACACGTGCTGCTATTAGTCAGCTCAGCCCCACCAGCTGCTGGCGCAGTACAGTCTCTGACGGTGTCACGGCTGACTACGACTCCAATGTGGTTCAAGTATACATTTATTATGTGTAGTTGAGGTATACGGTACTTCTATCATGGACTTGTATCTGTCAATAATCTTTCCTCAAATCATGTGGATTGATATCGACCCCAGATCACGCCGTCAATTTGAGGATTCAACCGCAGCACCTCGTCAGCAAGGCTAGACCTCGTGTTAAGTTCGACCAATTGATATTGTCCCATCTGATGGACCATCGCGGTTCGGATGCGGTCGTGAAACTCGCTCCATTTTTAGTTAGCTTGGGTCTCGTGGTGTTGGCTTATGTCGCTAGCGAACGTTGGAACCAGCACAAGTATATTTTAGCGATCCATCAGCAGCCCGTAGCTCTAGGGAGCTGCGTCGGGTCATGTCTGCCCTCCGTTGCGGCGCTCCAGGACCAGAAAGAGCATGCTGCTGCGTCATGTGTGCGGTTTTATAGCTGGACCGGCGCTGCTGCCACTTGGCAATTCTGGCACTGCCCTGGCAAGCAGCGCTTCAGAGTCGTCTCAGACACTCCCAGGCACGCCGTCTTCACCTTGCGGCTGCTCGGGGCGCGGCTCATCTTTTCGTCCCAGTCTCGCCGCTTGGAGGGCGGGCTTGAGCATCACTTGGACTACAGAACAAATGCAGCTGGCAGATATGAGGCCTACCTATCAATTATGTTGGACGAGCCTGTGGAGAACCTGACCGCGTACTGCGTTCCGAAAGCGCCCCCTGTCAAACTGGCTTTCACCGTCAGCCCGGCGCAGGTCAGCCCCTGCACCGTGGGCCTGTGGGAGTGGTCAGAGCCGCGAGGCAGCAATATGTCGCTGTACCGCCAACAGGGCATCCCTCATCCCTACACGGACGGCTTTGAAGGCAATTTCACTGGGCTGCGGTACAACTACCCGTTCCTACCCCCTGACAAGGTCATGCAGTGCATGTCCACCCGAACGACGTGCCTGGTCGGCGACTCGCAGATGAGGCACCACTACCACCACATTGCCAGCTTCCTGCATGGTGCTGGCAAAACGGCAAACTGCAACAAGCAATCTGCCAACTGTGCTGTAGACGGCTCCCGTTTTCACTATGTGAATTTTCGATACGGGCCGCAATGGGCCGACATCTCCGGGAACATATCTGCTCTCAACTGCTCGCACGTTGTCATCAACTTTGGGCAGTGGCCGATTAGCCATAAGGAAGCCCCAGTGCCCTGGTCTTATACGAAGTATCGTGACGAGGTGGAGAAGCTGTTCACTGCCCTGAGCAATCTGACTGCACAGGTGTTCTGGACAGACACCAACTCGTACCCCCCAAACCCCATGCTCAAGGCGTGCCCCCCACAAGACTGGCGCTTCCCGCACGTTGTGGCGTACTACAACGAAATTGCCGCCCTGAGCCTGCGCATGTTCCCTCGCCTCAGGAGCATACGATTGCATGATGTTGCATTTCAATTGTGGGATCTGAGCTACGACGGCGCTCACTACAACTACCCAGTTGGGCCGGCCTCGGCACAGTACGTATTGACCTCCCTGTGTGCATGAGTGACTCGTTCTATGATTGATGACAGCAGTTATCATTCCTTGTTAGAGGTACTTACATGACTTGCATCAAGCGGCGCAGGCTGCTGCGTGCGCTGCTTGCTCTGTTGCCCAACTTTCGCGTGCCTGTGCGGGCGCCATGGACAGTCACGCTGCCTGTCAGCCTTCCTTGTCAGACCCCGAGCACGAATTGGGCCAACGGTGTAAATTGATGGTGACAATGTGGTCAAAGGATAAGCGATGTGGCTGTCACTTGTTCTGGGCCCCAAGGCCCGCTCGGGTGTGCTGGGACAGCTGAGCTGGAGCTGCGCATGGCCGAGAAGAGCTTACAATCGCCCGGTATGGTACCAAGCCGTGTCAAACGTTGCTGATCGTAATCAATTGTCACATACAGGTATGCAACATGTCCCCCGGCTCGTGCTGTTGACGACTTGGGAGAGTGTGCCTAGCGACCTCACCTCGAATCGGAAGGAAGGATGGTAGCTGCGGGAGATAGCATGAACTGCAGAGTACTCATCAAGGTTGTATTAGTCGTCGTTGGCGTGCTGGCGGTGGGAGTGGCAGGTGGGATGGTTGCGCGTCACCACAGCTCGACCAATGCTCTCTTCCTCGGCTTTACACAATGTGATCACAGCAATCGTTTTGGATTGAAGTAACGCGCGGCAGTGGCAGACGGAGGCGGAGTACGCCGTCCAGACCAGAACGAGCATCGGTGTGGCGCAACGCCGGGGCGATGTGCATGGTTTTATCACGCGCCCCCTCGTCCCGCCGTCTGCTGGCCACGCCTTCTCTCAGGCGATGGTGCCAATTCGGTGTCGAGCCCGGGAGCGGCTGGCCATGCGCTGCTGTTCAGGGACCATGTGGTCATCAAAAAGGACTTCAAGGCAGGCACTGCATGGGGTCCCACGCTCGGCCGTTCACCGCTGTCGCGCGCAAGCCGCGCTGTTGCCGCCGCCGCCGCCATTGCCCCGGCAGCGCATCCTTCCCTTCATCAACAGCCCTCCCCGCCCAGTGCCAGCGCGTCGGGTTAGCCGCTCTGGGGATTGGCGCGCGCTCCCAAAGTCAGCTGTCTTGATGCCGACTGATCCATCACTGCTCCAAATTCAGGACTTCCCCACCACGGCGCTGACCTTTGAAGCCTGGGTCAGCTCCTCGGACTTCTGCCATGCGGGTGAGCAGCTTCCGCGCAGCTGCCACCCGCGGGGCGGGTCGCTTAAAGTTCTGATCAAGGCCGCTTGGGCCGGGTCCAGGGGCTCGTGGGTACCTGCCAAGCAGCCGCGCAGGGCCGGGCGCGGTGGCGCCACCGGAAGGTGGCCGCGCGCCCCATCGGTGCCTTAGTCCGCATGCAGGGGGGGGGAACGCCAGACTCAAGCATGGGTTCACACAGTGTGCAGCAGCCCCACCAGCCCTTTGCCCAGACGCGTGAGCACTGCGCCCTCGCCGCGTGTGTGCAGCGCGGCCTCTTCCCCCCCACCTGTACAGCAGCCGAGGCAGGCGCCTCCTCGGGCGCGCCCCCGGCGGCACACCCCGCCCGTGCTCACGCCCGCCCAAGCTGCCACCTCCCTGACCACTCCCCATGCCCACCCTCGCCCTGCATGCCCCAAGGCACCATCATGTCATATTCAAAGGACAGTAAGGCAACAGACGAGGACCAGAGGATTGCAGACTTCAACCACTTTGTGGTGTTTGACCCACGCAACCTGCTGGCCTGCCACGGTGCGTGTGTGTGTGTGTGTGTGTGTGTGTGCGTGTGTGCGTGCGTGTGTGCGTGTGTGTGTGTGTGTGTGTGTGGGTGTGTGTGTGCGCGCGCGCGTGTGTGTGCGCGCGTATGCGTGCGCGCGCAGTGATGTGACGTGACATGGCGTGCTTTCTGTCATGATGTTTGTATGGGCACCACGGGGCGTCACTGCGAGTCTGCCCGTCGTCGGCTCACCCTCACACGCGTGGATGACGGCGCCCAAAGCCCTGAGCTGGCGCACCTGTTGCTGCAACCCGTGAACCCCGAACCACTGGGCTCGTCCAAACCCTCAGCAAGGCAGGGCCGCCCCCCAGGCAGGTTCTGCGCGGCAGGGGCAAGCCTGTGGCGGCGCCTCACACCCTTCGCGTTTCTCTCTTTCCTTTGCCCCAACCTCGGCTTTGCACAATCCCTCCCTCGGATCCCGCCCTTCATGCACCCCCAAGATTACAAGTTCATCGATCTGAAGCCAGATCCTCAGAACGTCTCCTGCCATTCCGGCTTCATCAACGTCACCGGCCACGACACCACCGCAAAGTGAGCCCCCTGTCACGCCCTCAGTTCCTTCCCAACCCCCAACATTTCCAGATCCGGGGTCACGCCGCCGCCCTTTCAGATGCGCCCAGTGATCTGCGGCACCGTCCAATGCAGCCCTCTTCCCCGCTGCCTGCAGTATCGTGCCTCCGGAGGCGAATCTGCCGCGGGCACTGCGTTTTTTCACGCGACACCCCACGCCTCCTAGACTCTAACCCACGAGACACACACACACACACACACACACGCACGCGCGCACGCACACACACACGCACACGCACGCGGCATGAAGGTTTACGGAACGCGACGGCAAGTGGCACCACCTGGCAGTCACGTGGACCGCGGCCGACAACGGGCTGACTGAGATCTACTGGGACGGCCTCATCGCCGCCAGCTCATACTCCGGCAAGACGGCGCCCCTGGACCCACATGGCGCGTTCATGCTCGGCGGCGAGCAGGTGGGTGCGCGCGCGTGTGCCTTTGGATTCGATATGGGAGGTTATGGCACGCGCGCACACAAGACAGCAATTGTGCCACGCACTTGGATTTCGCAAAGGGGGGGTTACGCGGCTGGTTTGCTGCTTTTTGCCGGGGCGAGCCGGCTGGGGTCGGTTGCCAAGTGGGGACATCATTTGTCAAGGGAGGGGAGGCGATCCACTGCGGTGGGGTCGCCTGCTGAGGTGGTAACTTGAGCCTTAAACAGTTTCAAACAGCCTTCAGATTGTTGCGCCCCAGATATCCGGGATGCCCACCCCACCCAACCCCCACCCAGCCCCACCTCTCCATTATTAAAAATTACTCCCTCCACACAAACACACACACACACACACATACACACACACACACACACACACACACACA